ATAATAAATAAATATCATCATAAATATAAATTGATACAATAAATCATATTAATAAATCATTAATAAATAAATAGGACATAGTACTAATAGAATTTATAATAATTCCCCAACAGTCTATATTTAAATGTTCTCAAATACCCCCAAAGTTATTTCTATAGGTGTTTTGTTCAAGTCAGGTTAGTACTAATAAAAGTTATAATAATTCTCCAACAGTCTATATTTAAATTTTCCCAAATAGCCCCAAAGTTATTTCTTTCTCTTTTTTTTAACGTCTTTATTGGAGTATAATTGCTTTACAATGGTGTGTTAGTTTCTGCTTTATAACAAAGTGAATCAGCTATACATATACATATATCCCCATATCTCTTCCCTCTTGTATCTCCCTCCCTCCCACCCTCCCTATTCCACCCCTCTAGGTGGTCACAAAACACCGAGCTGATCTCCCTGTGCTATGTGGCTGCTTCCCACTAGCTATCTATTTTACATTTGGTAGTGTATATATGTCCATGCCACTCTCTCACTTCACCCCAGCTTACCCTTGCCCCTCCCCACGTCCTCAAGTCCATTCTCTGCGTTTGTGTCTTTCTTCCTATCCTGCCCCTAGGTTCTTCACAACCTTTTTTTTTTTTTTTTTAGATTCCATATGCGTGTGTTAGCATACTGTATTTGATTTTCTCTTTCTGACTTACTTCACTCTGTGTGACAGACTCTAGGTCCATCCACCTCACTATAAATAATTCACTTTCATTTCTTTTTATGGCTGAGTAATACTCCATTGTATATATGTGCCACATCTTCTTTATCCATTCATCTGTCGATGGACACTTAGGTTGCTTCCATGTCCTGGCAATTGTAAATAGTGCTGCAATGAACATTGTGGTACATGTCTGTTTTTGAGTTATGGTTTTCTCAGGGTATATGCCCAGTAGTGGGATTGCTGGGTCATATGGTAGTTCTATTTTTAGTTCCCAAAGTTATTTCTGTAGCTGTTCTGTTCAAATCAGGAATCCCATTAAGTATCAGACATTGCATTTGATGGTTATACACGAAGTCTTATTTAATCTAAAGCAGCCTCCATCCCCCAGACTTTTTTATGTGACTCATTGTGGAATAGTCTGCCTTTAAACAATGTGAGCAAGACCTAGAATCAAGGGACTTCCCTGGTGGCACAGTGGTTAAGAATCCGCCTCCCAGTGCAGGGGACGTGGGTTCGAGCCCTGGTCCAGGAAGATCCCACATACTGCGGAGCAACTAAGCCCGTGTGCCACAACTACTGAGCCTGTGCTCTAGAGCCCGCAAGCCACAACTACTGAGCCCACATGCCACAACTACTGAAACCCGCACGCCTACAGCCCGCCCTCAGCAAAAAGATAAGCCACCGCAATGAGAAGCCCACGCACCACAAAGAAGAGTAGCCCCTGCTCGCCACAACTAGAGAAAGCCCACGTGCAGCAACAAAGACCAAACACAGCCAAAAATAAAAATAAACAAAATAAATAAATTTATTTTTAAAAAAAGACCTGGAATCAATACATCTCATAGCAAGTTTAATATAGAGGGAAATACAAACGTTTCTGTTCCTATTATCCTTAACATTTATCTCAATTCTCCACTTTTAACATTAAAAAAAAAATCTTTCACCTATTTTTTAAACAATTTCTAGAGCTGATTAAGGTAATTTAGATACATATACGATACCAGAGGCTCACATATAACATAAAAACATATTCCAAAGTTTTTCTCTGGAATATATGAGTCCATGCTATGGGTGCTGTGTAAATGAAGGGAGACAGAATAGTCACTTTAATAAGGCTTAAGAAATTCTAGATCAGTAGAATACATCACCTCTTGTGAAAGATGCTGATTATTTTGTCTTTCAAGAGGCTATTACAGTATCCCAAGCTGTGAAAAAATATAGAAATGTAGACACTTGGGTTGACATTCTAGGGTGTGCAGTGCCTTCTGAGAGAGCAAAATTATCTCCCAGAAGAATTTTTATCCTTGTGAGAAAATCTGTCAGCTTACCGGAAAACACCAGAAAAAAAAAAAAAAAAAAAAAAAAAAAAAACAGAAAAATCCCCCCAAATTTCATAAAATTCCCATAAAGTGAGAACTGTTGGTATGTAAGTGGAGGTGCACATAATGAACATTGTTCATAGTAGAAATAGGGTACAGTGAGACCAGAGAGAAGAAGCAACCTTATACAGCACTTATGTCACAGTGGGGTGTGAGGTTACAGATAAGGGACCTGGAAGAAATACCTGAGAAAACATGACCATAGAAATGAGAGAGGTGTGTGCTGTTGCCTAACTATGTTTTAAAGTTTCTCAATTCATTGGCATTAAGAAATAGGATCAGCAAGGAGTCAAAAATAAGGGACTTGGCAACTGAGATAACAGAAATGTATAAAGGAAAAGGAATCAAATGTGCTGACTGGAAAAACAGAAAGCTAGAATTCCCTCAACTGAGCAGAAGAATAGGGTAGATTTAATTAGAAGGAGCTGACTTTATAAAGAACAGGAATTAAGGCTTAGAATAAGATGGACGATAATAAAAGCAGTGAAGCTCTAACCTCTCTGCACTGGGCAATATGGTAAGCACTGGCCACATGTGGCTATTTAAATTTAACTTAAAGTTAAAAATTCAGTTCCTTAGTCCTATTAGCTACATTTCCAATGTTCAATAGCCACATATGGTTAGTGGCTACCATAGTGGATGCACAGATAGAGAATGTTTCCACATTTCAGGAAGTTGTCTGTTGGACCATACTGTTCTAAGGACATTAAGATGAGTAGGAAAGAAAAAGGCAGAGAAAGAGATGAAGGAGGAGGGATGGTGATTCATAAACTCCCTTCCCCATTTCTTGCTTAATGTCACTAGTTCTCATGTGACAATTAACATAGCCACTGCTCTGCAGAATCCTCTCCAGAAAGCTGCTGGAGACTTTGCTGCCTTAGGATGCTCTAGTTGGTTGATACCGTGGAACAAGGCCTTGAGTTAGGGGTGGAGTCAGAACTGGGTGTGGGGAAGAGTCATTCTTTGGATGAAGAGGCCCTTTGTACATCTTAGCATCACGCCCAGAATTCAAGGTGGATAAAACATTCACTGGCCAGTGGAAAGCTTGCAGGAGCAAGTCCTTTCGCCTCCAGTGCCCAGTGAGTCTTCAGTCATTCATGGTCAGACGGTCCTACTACTAATACATTACTCAGACTAAGTCATAGGTCGATACTTACATTCTATCTTACTTGATGAATGAGAAATTTGGCCTGATCATCTCCTTTTATTTTATTTATTCACATCAACCAATCCCTATCATAAGCATTCTTATGCACTTCAAGTAAATACAGGGAGCCTATCTCCTTCCCTCTAAACTCCACGATGAATAGCATGAAACTTCAAGTCAGTGTGGAGTAACCTTCTTTGCCACATACCTGCATTGAAATGACAGCATTCTAGAGAACCCGCAGAGATATCCTTCCTTTCTGGGACAATTTTTAACACCTTTTGACCATAATCAACATCTTATCAGATAGATCTCTTTTTCCAGACTGCCATTTTGATCTCCATAGACTTCCTGCCACTCACAATATTTATACGAGACATTGCCAGATGAACAGGAGGTTACCCCCAGAACACTTCCAAAGGCTTCCCTGTGAGAGTCATTATTTATTTTCACAGACTTCAGGGCTGCATTCAGTTTCCCGTTTGCATGTGTGGGCAGCCTTTTCTCCAGTGTATTCCCTGTGCTCTAATTGGCTCACTATATAGATTCTTGGCTCTGGGCTCGGGAATCGTCATTGACTTTTTTTTTTTTTTTTTTTTTTTTTTTTTTTTTCTTGCGTTATGCGGGCCTCTCACTGTCGTGGCCTCTCCCGTTGCGGAGCACAGGCTCCGGACGCGCAGGCTCAGCGGCCATGGCTCACGGGCCCAGCCGCTCCGCGGCATGTGGGATCCTCCCGGACCGGGGCACGAACCCGCGTCTCCTGCATCGGCAGGCGGACTCTCAAGCACTGCGCCACCAGGGAAGCCCCTCGTCATTGACTTTTAACCCACCTCACCTGAAGAACAGCTTTCTGTGTTTCCATTAGTATTTCAGGCTCTGATCCTCATTTTTAAAATTATCAACAGGACTTTAATTGGTGGATTTGATTGTTTACTTTTAAGCTGGCTTAGTGATATTTTAAATTTTGTTTTACTGCATTTGAAGAGGACAGAAACTTAGAGAAAAATGATTGGGGAAGGAAGATATCCATTTAGAGAGAAAACAGAGACTTCCCTGGACTTAGGCTGGTCACTTAAAAGGAACTGTGATTTATGCAAGGAACATTATAAGTATCACAGTTTTGCTTGTATGAACTAATGATTTAAAAAAATAATCCTCACTTTTACATTAGCAAATTTTCTGTCTCTTAAATAATAGCTTAGAAAATGACTGTTTCCTAAAGACCACTGAAATGGAAAGTTTATAATTTTCTACTGTGATCTGAAGATCTGGCAAGGAGCATCGGCCAGATAATCCTCTTTGAATAATATAAACTTCCAGACTCCACTTGCCTTTTTAGCATGGGAAGAAGCTAAACAACCTGTAAATAAAGCATAGGGTGAAAAGCCCCTATAAGTTGTACAACTCTCCACACTTCTGATCATTTTAAATGCCTACCACTGGAAACCTTCAATAAAGGAATGAATCTTCCATGCCTCACAAAGAGCTGCCTTTCAGCTAGAAGAGGGTGTGTCCCCAAGCTTTTACCCGAGAGCAATGATGATCTTGTTAAGCGCTGCAATGAGACCAGCCCAAGTTTTTAGGGTGGGGATCTAGACAGGTTATACGCACATTCAGACCTGCTCCCAGAGAAGAAAGAAACACCTCAAAGCCTGCACATAAGAACACCTACTGAGAAATTATTTTAAGCAGACACCAGCTGAGTGGGGGGAGGAAAAAGAACAGAGAAGAACAAACAAAACACCCTTGGTCTTGGATGTAAGAGAACCCAGCAGCAATGAACTGGCCCTTCAGAACAGCTGCAGTGCTGTTCATTTTCCTGGTAAGTGGATCCTGTTAAAAACTTTCCATCATCATTTCACTGTAAACAAGTGAGGATTTTAAATGTTTTTTTATGTTACTTCCAACCTAAACCTGTTAAAGGTTTATGTTAATGATAAGGTGATTTTAGGAACTAGATTTTTAAATAGTGTTTCTCTCCTTAATTGAAGACTCAAGATCATATTAATGCATCAGTGTTAACTCATCATATCACATCTTTGACATCAAAGTCATTGCTAAGTCATGCCAGGAAAACACTGAATTTGGGAAAGTCATATCACTACTTAATAGCATTTTGTTGTTCAAATTCTCTTTTGCAGGTAGGCTTTGAAAACTAATCTCCCAGGTGTATCTTGATTTTTAACCTAGACATTTTCCCATACTTTTGGTATCTTTGCTAGTAGATTCACTCTAAATTTTAAAACATAAAATTAGGATCCATACAAATTAAAATCATAGCTGTTTGTGACTGGCTTCACCATCCAAACAATCTCAATGGTTCCATATGCGGTTGGGGGTCCATATCACTAATAGCAGAAGCCCCACAGTGCTAAACTATAACTTCATTTAAAACAACATTTTTTAATTTCAAAAAGAATGGCAGTACAGGAGATTTATAAATGACATAGTAGGTGAAGGGATGGCTATAATAAAGGAGTAAGTATAATTATTATGATACTGGTTCTTACTACTGGAAAGTCAGTAATGACCGTGACATAAAAGTTGTACATTTTATGATCAGAGAAATGTAACAGAATGCTTTATCATTGCCCCCCTACATGTTACTAGTCTTCTCTTTAGAGATAATTCTAAGGGCAACACCAGTGTGTTGACTCAATTTTACTTATGTTGAAAAATTGAAAATCGTAGTCTTTATCAAAATAAGGTTAATATAATCCAAAGAGATGAGTGCCAGGTAAATTGTCCTATAGTTTGGCAAGATGTAGTGCTGTGGTGCATATGTGTCTCTACTTGCTTAATTTTTGAACTGGATTGTTGGGTTTCTATAATAACAAGATAGATCTTTGATTCAACATATGCTGGTTAACTTGAATTCACTTTTAATTGAGAGGCCATAGCCAGTGAATTTAGTTATAAATGAGCATCAGTAAGCTGTAGCTGTAGTTCCAAACTGGCCTTCAAACATTAGCCTTATTCCATGGACGTGATCCTGAGGATGAGATGATATCATAATTTGGGACACAGCAGGGATTAATGAGCACCACAGAGTACATCATTTGAACATAGGAGCACTTGTTAATTATGCAATAATAAAATACTTTTATTTTTAATTTCATATAACCTTGATCCAATTAAGGCCTATTATAGTGTCAGTTGATTAAAGTGTATTCAAATGCTTATGTACTTTCATTGAATCTATAAGATGCCTTCTTTTACTATTTTTAGATTATTTCTAACTAATTACATCCTATAAAATTCCTTTAAACAGCCAATTGTAACTAGTCGTTCTTCAGTACAATATATCATTTTATCAAAATCATGTATCCTCATTGAACTTTCTTTGTACAGAGATTTCTGGGCATTTGTACTTTCTTTTCTTTTCTTTTCTTTTTGTAAAAAATTATTTATTTGCTTATTTATTTTTGGCTGCATTGGGTCTTTGTTGCTGCGCCTGGGCTTTCTTTAGTTGTGGCGAGCAGGGGCTACTCTTCCTTGCCGCTTGTAGGTTTCTCATAGCGGTGGCTTCTCCTGCTGTGGAGCACGGACTCTAGGCATATGGGCTTCAGTAGGTGTGGCTCGTGGGCTCTTAGAGCGCAGGCTCAGTAGTTGTAGTGCACAGGACTTAGTTGCTCCGCTGCATGTGGGATCTTCCCGGGCCAGGGCTCGAACCCGTGTCCCCTGCATTGGCAGGCAGCTTAACAACTGCACCACCAGGGAAGCCCTGTACTTTATTTTCTGAGTCTGGATAGTTTTTGTTTGTTTATATGTAGGTTGTTTGTTTGTTGCCATATTTTGCTTTGGATCAATCATAAGTCTTTCATACACCTTACGAAAATTATTTCTCAGAGAACTTATAAAGAATTGAGTTGTTTCATTTCATGTTATTGTAACATTTTTTGTAAAACATTTCACTTTCTGAGGTTTAGAAAATCACAATTTATTTTTACTACTGATTTTACCAGATGATTTGGATAAATGTCCTTTGGAGTTATCCAATATATTTTTGCTTTAAAATACTTTTTTCTGAAAATTAACCATCACTATAGCAAACTCTTCCTCTTACTTTTCTGCTTGCCTTATTCTGAATGTTTGCTTTTACCAATTAAAAAAGAAAGAAAGAAATCTATGTAAAGTCTTTATATTCTTCTCTGCTCAAAGTTGGTAAGTGAAAATCTACATTAGGGAGTATATTTGGACAATTTTGAAACACGACTATTCCATTATGTAGACAACTTGGCTGGACAGACAATAGTTTGCAGCTGTTATAACACTGCAAGCCAAATAAATGATGTTGATGGTACATTTATTTTTCTTTCTTTTTCGTTTCCATGAGATTAGTGTGTGTGGCGGGCAGGGGTCTGACGGGTGGTTTGAATGAATTCTAGACCAGAAAACAATGTTACCTTTGCATCAAATATAAGAAATCCCTGTGAATGGTTGTAACAGTGGTATAAGATATGGCATGGTGACTGTGGGAAAGCAAAGTAGAACCACTAGAATTTTTATAGTTCTATTGATTTCTAAAACTTACTTGTGACTTTACCAGGTCCCATCAGTCACCTCAAATCAATACAAATCTCAAGGTGTCTTTTTCTATAAAAGCCAACTTCTGCAGCTTACACTCAAAGAACAAATAAACCTATCTTTATCTATTACCAGGATTGATCAGTTTTTCAGATCATCATACCAGCCTAGCTTCTCTTCTTTCCATGGTTAATACTTCCTTTAAAAAAAAAACCCTCCTGACCACCTGATAAGCTAACTCCACAATTTGAACTTAGCTGAAATTATTAAGGATAAAGCAGGTGTTTTTAGAGTATTTCTCAGGACCAGGGCTAAAATACACAGAATGTAATATATACTTTATTACATAATTCATCAACTTAATGTGAATCAGTCATCTTAAATTTCCATATTGTGTTCATTGATGCCTAAAGCAAGAGAAGGACTAACAAACTAGTACAGACCAAACAGAAGAGAAGCAAAAGAGAGGATTCTTTATGCTTTCTTGTGCACATATTACAGTGATACATATTATAGACATTAGAACTTCAGTAAAATATTTTATAGAAAATGGAAGCAGCATTTCAGTTCACCTGTTAAGTTTATAAATTGTATTTAAGCAAAATGATGATGCTCTTAAAAGCTTTGGAATTTCACAGCAGATTTAGGATCACCATGTTCTTTCACTTTTATGAAAATAGAGAGTACAAATTTGTCATTTAATTGGTTTGAGTTGCCACAGAGCAACACATTTTGCTGTGTCTGATTTAGGTAATAGAAAGCCTAAAGAACTAGGAAATGCTAACTGGATAAATCTGAAGGCATGGCCCCTAAAGGACAAGATTTACCTACTTAACAAGACTCATGAATCTAGAAAAATAACACTGTCTATACCCAGAGCACTTAATTTCTGATAATTCTTTTCTCCACTACACATTCTTCAAGGACACTGTTGCTGAGGTTCCCTGTGTCCTAACAGGCATTGCCTAACACAGAAGCAGGATGCATGCTCAGTACTGCAGTTAGACTCACTATGCTTCTCTCAGTGAGGGAACACCCTTACAGAACACTGAGTCATGTCACCCTTGCTGGCTATGCTTGGCGTGCAAGGTCCTTTAATGGACTTAGGCAAGTCAAAGTGGTTTAAATGCCACTGGCTGCTGATCCATACTCTCAGTTGGTCTATGAGCACAGGGCACAACCTTGTCTAATGAAAAACCACATCTTCAGAAATTAATGGCTGCCTGCTGCTCATAAAATGACTTGACTGTAAGTTATTGGAGGGCAGGTTCTGTTCTGACTCACATTTGTATGCTTCACAGTGCCTTGCACCAGTGCAAGGTTGCTCAGTAGATGTTTAATTCACAAAGTAGAGGCATCAAAAGGGAATTTTGGGATAGTTTATCTTTTTCTCCCCCCACACACTCCAAACAATCATCAGGGTATTAAACATGAAAATAATCATGCTGAATTTCCCTATCATGTATTTTTACGATGCACTATTACATTTAATCTAAGGCTTACCATAATAGTTTTAGGGCTTAAGCCCTTTGAAAGTCTTAATCCAGCCTTGGGTCCACACCCAAGTATGGATATACATTTGATATGTATTTGTCAAATAAATAAATAAGCCAATAAACAAATATGAGGAATGAGCTATCAAGGTGTTGTCAACTCCAGACTGATAGCTATTGTCCAAGTAATACAAAAGAAAGACAAAACAGGAGGTTTTTTTAAAAGAAGCAAATTATTATATTTTAGCTTTATCTCAGGTTCATCCTTGTGATGTATATAACAGTTAAACACATCAGAATTTGATGCTTAAAAAACTATCAAGAGACTGTGGAAGACTACCTTACAATTATTAAATGCAAGAGGTTTTCCTTATAAAAATCACTTACTACTTTCAAGATGCAAAGAAATGTAAACCTCAATATCAAAAGAAATAACTAAAAATGAGTATAATTAGAGAGTCATTGAAATTAGCATGCAATTTTGTGTCTTGTGGCTTTTTTAAAAAGTACGTGGATTGGCTCCTAAAATAATGATTCAGGGAGGACTCATTGAGGATGAGCTTTAAGTGAATTATGCACTGCTTTCTTAGAATGTCTTAATTGGAAAGGGCTTTAGTCTCATATACAGATGAGGAAACTGAGGCACCAAATGGTTAAGTGACTCACCGCAACACCCATAGGCAGAGGTCAAGAGAGTTGAGATGCACTCAGCTTGACAACGCTGTCTTCATCTCCAAGTGAGTCTCTGTCACAGTCTCCACAGAACATATTCCCAACTCATTTCAGAATCCAAACTAGTCCCCTAATTGCCCCCCAAATAACCTTATCTTTATTCTAGGGACAAGGTCTAGATCATTCAGGATAGTGTCCTTCAATTTCTCTCTCCAATCAAGTGATTTTCATCTCCATCCTCCTCTCTTCCTTACCCTGTCTTCAAAGTCCTTTCTTTCTGCCTATTCCCTCCCACTCTCCCCATCATGACATCTCCATCAAGGACTTTCATTCTGAACCTCTCCACTTTCAAATCAAAATTTCTTACTCTTTTCTTTCTCCTCCTTCAAAACCCCGTCTCCCTCTCCCAAAATATTTTCTTGGACACTACGTCTAATTCTACCATCACATATTTTTGTTGCTTTTTTTTTAAATCACCAAACGTCTTAGAAAAGTGACTATCTTTATGCCCTCTTGGGAATTCCCTGACTGTCCAGTGGCTAGGACTCCGTGCTTCCACTGCAGGGGGCACGGGTTCGATCCCTAGTCAGGGAACTAAAATCCCACATGCCTCGCAGCACGGGCAAAAGAAAATAAAATGGTTTATGTCCTTTTCCCCTCCATCTTATTCCCCAGTTTCTTTCAGTCAGAAAGGCTCTGTTCCATCCAACTGAAAGCATCTGTTCAAGGTCACAGAAAATCTCAGATTTCCTCAGGATTCACTCTGCTCAACTATTTCATATCTGATACAGTTCACACCCATCTGTCTTTCACTTTTCCCTTCCTTTGACATCCTTGACATCCAATGATATTTTCTTCCTATTGTTTTTCAGCCACTTCTTCTTTTTTCTCTTTTTGTTTCTCATTTCTTGTCATTGTTCCCAGTTATATAAATGTAGGGATTCCCCTAGTTTCATTCTCACCCACAGGCTGTTTCTTTGCTGTGTTCTTGAGGGATTTCAAATTCTCCCATGATTTCAACTAACCTACCTGCGAAGATATTCCTCCATATATCAGTCTTGGACCACCACTGTTCATGGTGCCAAGTCATATTTCAAACTGCTAAGCATCTTTGCCCAGGCCTTTCTCTAGCATCTCAAACTTGATGTGTTCTAACCAGCTAAATTCTGCTGTGGCCTTGCTCCTGATCTGCCCATTTAAAACTGCCACCACCTGAGATTCTTCCCTCTCTTGACTCCCACATCTCATTGGTTCTCAAGCCCTGTCAATTTCAACCATGCAGTATCTCCCCCTTGATCTTGCCCCATCTGTCCCCATGGCCACTGCTCCTGTTCAGCTTCTCATCTCTGGCCTGATTTCATGCAAAACATTCAGCTGCTGGTGGCCTGTAATCACTGAGTCTTCCCACCACTCCCACCAATTGTTGGCAGAGTAATCTTTTAAACCCACAATTTTATCATGCCTTTACCGTGATCAAAAAACTTCCATATTTTCCTACTGCACACAGAGATTTGATGTCAGAATTGAAAAGGTAACTATATAATTTAGTCTACCCCCACCATTTCACAAATGAGAAAACTAAAGCTCAGAGAATTGAGGAAGTACACTGAGAGTTTTCTGACTCTGCCAAGTCCTCCTTTTATCTCATTGTTTTGCCTTTGAAAGTCGAAGAGTGACTCTGTTTCAGAGTTTTTTCTGGACTCGGAGCAAATCACAATAAAGTTATGTCAACAAAACACATTTTTAAGCAGACTCGGCAGTGTTTTAATTACTAATCCAGTCGAGAGCCTGACACTGTGGTGAAACCTGCTTGGTCTTCTGCCTAAGTTGCTACTCATGGGAAAAAGAATGACCCAGCTCCATAAAGTTGCAAGGTTTCTTAGTCATCTGGCATAGTTCTCCAAAACAAACAGCAGGCACTGACACTTCAGTATGGTAAGGGAAGTACAAGACAGGTAACAGACGCATACACAACTCTGTAGCTATGAAGAAATGGCTTCCAAACAGACGAATTAGATACACCCACACCCCAGTCGTCCCACTCCCACAAACAAGAGCAAAAAGTGTTCAAGAGTTCAGAGGTAGCAAGAAATACACATCTGCATTAACATCATTTCAATTCTGTGCCCAAGAAGGACTCTACAATAACATTTCAGTTACTTGTCCAAAGTAACTTGGATGATTTGGGCCATTTATTTTTCTACCCCCTCCCCTACCCCATAGTATTACTATTATTGTTGTTGTTACTATTGTATATAAGCCTTCCTAATTCACAAGGATATTATGAGATTAGATTAAAATCAGAATTATTTTGAATTCTCAAAGTTGTAATAATGTCAATTCTTTGTAGTATATTTTACTTAGTAATTTACTTGGAATAGGCTCTTATACTTTATTGTAAAACCCACACCTCAAGAACAAATTTCGGCTGAATTGTGCTGGATTGTATTTAGCCCTAAATTAATATCCAAACCTCAATTTCTTCATCTGTAAATTGGAGACAATTATAGTATTGACCACATGTACTAATGAAGATTGAATGCACGGATTTCTCTAAACACATTGCCTAGTACTTAGTTATCATTCAGTGAACTGTAATGGTGATTAATGATAATGATTAACATTAAATAGATACCAGGAGTGTATAATTCCTATAATAAAAACATTATCTCTTTACACACTCATATTAACCATAAACACATATTTTCCTGAATTATCAGTTATGGCAATTTTTAAAAATATGTACTTGGAGACTAAAATTTTATTTTTCTTTAATGGTGAAATTGAAACTAACTGTAAAAAGTAATTTACTATATTTTGAAATTACTGTTATTCATATTTTTTAAAATGCAAACTATAATTTTCTTTTATCAACAGTCCAGATAAAATCTAATTGTGATAACAGTTTTCATAATTAGCAATTCTGAAAAACAAAACAGATAAAGTTCAAAACTTCTTATTTAGGGGGAAAAAAAGCTAAGAATTTACACTATCTTTAATGATTCTAAATTAAATTTAATAAATGTAGACAAACCCTTCAAATCCACACCTAATTTTTAGATAGATATTTTACAATGTCCTAAGCATATTGATATATTAGACTTAATATATAAGTGTGTGTGTTTTTAGAAACGCCTTTGTTTCTAGAGAAAAATAATTTAAATTATATGTATGATTTTCACTAGAAATCATATGTAAAGATCAAGGCCAGAGTCGAAACTAGGCAAAGCTCTGTTTGACTAGCTCACTTGTTTGACCGGGAAATTGTTTAATGCAGGAGAAAAGACTAATGAAAGTTGCTTACACAGCAATTTGTCCCTACAGTCTTGTAATTTATTTTCATTGCTATGGAAGGATGCATTTATATCATGTTTTGTTTAGTGCCAACAATAAAATATCAAATATGAACTCAATTTTACATAAAGAAAATTGTTTTTATTTTGGAACTTTTTATTCTCATATTTCAAAGCAAATTAAAGATTTATCACCTTAAGATTTTCAAGAATACTAGAAAATCTTCCATCTAGAATTGGACAGTGAAAAAGCAAATATTCCAAAGCTTTCCTGATATTTTCTGCTTTATATCATTTCTTTACTCCAATTCTTTTTTCTGTTTCCATCTGTGGCTAGTCAGATCCCAAAACTATCATCAAATATTTTAGTATCATAACATGCTGTTGAATCACTAAATAGCATCCGAGTATCTCCAGCTCTTCAGGCACAAGATTTACTAAGAGGTCCTGAGTTCCCAACTCTCATTCTCCCTGGGTTCTAGCTTCAAATGTCCTAGCTCATATGATTACAAGTATCTGCATAGGCTAAGAATGAAAAAGAGGTTAACAATAAAAGTAATGAAAAGAAGAGCAAAATTGAAAGGTAAAAACCAAACATAAAGGAATCCTTAGCATCGTCATCAGAACTTGAGAGATAAAACCAGATTCACCTGCTAATGACCCACAAGACTATTGCTTAATTTTTTTTTAAGCTGTGAGATAGCATGAATTACAAAGCATTCAACTAAAAATTAATTATGGTTCTTATTTTTTTATAGGTGGTGCTGGAAGTTAACAGTGAATTTCAAATCCAGGTAACATATAGCAAATTAATTTTTTCCAAATTAAAAATAAGAAAAACAGTTTGGGAGAAGCAACATATTTTCCAAAGAAAATTCATCCTTATAAGTAAAGTTAATGTTATGCTAAAATTAATAGATTATCAAAATTACCAATTTTCCCAATGAAACATCCTCTCTTTCTGACATTATAATTACCCCATCCTCCAAAAGCTCCAGTGGAACGTGAATTATGGATAAAAGTTAATAGATACTATTACTTTATCCTGCCCACCCAAGGTCAGAGATTATAACAGTAAAAATGGCACTATCAAGTGGCGTTCCATCAGGCGGCAAAAACGTGAGTGGATCAAGTTCGCTGCAGCCTGTCGTGAAGGTGAGGACAACTCAAAGAGGAACCCAATCGCCAAAGTAAGTATCAACCCCAAAGCATAAAATCGAAAATCAGAATGGATGGAGTTAAATTTTCAAAAGAACCTATCTTTTAAATATTTTATGAACACATCTCACTGAGAAATTATGATACAGAACAAAACTATAATCTGAATTATATAATCTGAATTATAATCTGAATTATACAGAACAAAACTATAATCTGAAAGATTATGAAAGATTATGAAAATTGAAGCCATTAAAAGTATAAATTAAGAAATTTAGGCACTCGGGTAAACAGTTAAACGTTGACTCACCACACTGGTGAAATTAATATACATGATCATATGTCACCCCAAACTCTAGATGAAAAAAATATAGTGATTTCTACAATGGATTTAATGCTCAGCACATTCACAGGAACTATTTCAATGTGTGCTACTTCTGCCTCCTAATTTCTTAGAATTGAATTCCTACTTTTGGCTTTGTTATGGACATTCACAATGTACCCTGTTTCATACGCTCTTTTCCTTTTATTTTCCCTTTTCTTCCTTTTGCACACACGTCCTCACACGCATGTGTGCACACACACACACGGAAACGTATCCCCACACACAGATTCACACATACAAACATATATACACAAATTTACATAGAGATTTCCCCATAAGATTGCTTACAGTCGTACAATTTTTTATTTCCAAGAGAGCCCTGGTTTCACATCCTCGTCATTTTCAAAATTAAAATCTACACAGTCAGATAACTCTTGTCGCCTACATAAATCTACTTTAAACTTTCTTCTAAAACTTTACATTAAAAAATTTTTTAATCAAAAAATCAAAATTATGTAATAATATTGGTAAACTCCTTAAGACTGCAAGGAGCTCTCTACTCTAGCCTCAACGTTAGCACAGAGACTAAAAATAATACGATCCATTGTAAATGTTGAATGAATGAATGCATGAAAGACGACTGCATAGATTTAGATTTATTAGGGTGATATTTTACTTCTTTCTAATTTGGTAGAAACAGAAATTGAATTTCTTTTATTATGTTGTCATTTACCATTGAAAATATAAAGCTGTTATTATTCCTCTTATCTAGGAAAATAATTCTCTATTTCCAGCATTTCTCAAAAGATAACAGATACTCACATTCAACAATTCTCAAGATAGTTGAGAATTGCACTCTGGACATAGCACTCTTGATTTGCTCCCTGTAATGTATGTTTTCACCTGTGCTCTTTCTGCAGATTCACTCAGATTGTGCTGCAAACCAGCAAGTTACATACCACATCTCTGGAGTAGGAATTGATCAACCACCTTATGGGATCTTTGTTATTAATCAAAAAACTGGTGAAATTAATATAACATCCATAGTTGATCGAGAGGTCACCCCTTTTTTCATTGTAAGTGGGTGAATATGTATGTTCAGGCCTATATTATTTTTGGACTATCTTAAGCGCAGATCATACTTGATTTGATTTCAAGAGTCTCAATATTAGGCATTTTTGGTTGTCCCTTATTTCATGAGCATCTTATGACCCAAAAGAAACAAAAGATTAAGACAGAAAGGAGTGTTTGCTTAACTGCCTTAGCAAAAATGCTAACCTCTGGTCAGTCCCCGGTGTCAAGCTAAAGTGTTTGTTTGGAAGGGCAAGCACCTAACTTCTTTTACTTTAATTCAGTTGAGAATATCGGTTCCTCTTAACTCCAGTGCCAAATGATTCTGGAGCTCCTGATGGAGCCTTTCCTGAGTGAACATACTTTATGATAAAATCACATTGCTCAAGCTCACCTGAACTCAGGATGTGCCTTGGAGATACTTTAATTCACCCTTAACGAATCTCACTCTATTCTTTACAGTTGCTGTGACAAAACTTCAAACCCTCCGCCTCATTTCCACTTTATGAAGCTGACCTGTGACCAACTTCATTAAAAAGTCTGAGGCCCTTCATCACAAACTCCCACAATTAATTCTCTCTCCTCCAGTTCAGAAATGTTCTGAATTAAATCCAAAAATGGGATCGATTTTCTTCTTTTTCTCAACTGCTTATCCCCAAAGCTATCTATTTTCCCATAATTACCTGTCCAAGAACCTTAATCAATCAACTTTGTTTTTTCATCTTTCTTTTGCTTGCTCCATTGGCTGCTAATCCATTTCCATCTATCATTAGGGTCAACACTTGGTAATACTTGAAAAATAAAACTAAAGACAATTTTAAAACTTTCTTTGATCTTGTAACCTCTTCTATTCAAACTCCATAATTTTCCAAAATGCCTTCAAATAGTAATCTACGCTTGCAGGCTTTCACTCATACTGCTTTTCCGTATGCCTCGAACTACTTTAATTCCTTAGTCTTCTGTTCCAAGTCTGTATTCCTGCCTTGTCTCCCACAATGTTTCCCTGAAAACTCTAAATCAACATGCCAGCCTATTAGCTTTTCTTGATGCACAATGCATTTTTATATGAAATATATCACATAGGCAAAATAGTATGCATTACACTTGCATACACCAAATAATAATATAAACACCCACATAGCCACACTTATCTCATGAATGCTATATTTCTCTGAAGCCCCCGTGTGACTCTCCTTTGTCACATTCTCAAGTCCCATAAACCCTATTCCTAATTCCAACAACGAGTTTTCACCACTCCATTTCCTTCCTCATGTAAATCCCTTTGCTTGAAACACCCTGCCAATTCCCTGCTCCACCTGTTGAAATTTTCTTTGAAGATCTCTCAATCACTACATTCTCCTATGAAGTCACAGTAATTTTGCTCTTCCTTCGTGTAACTTATCGTGTTACCTTTTCTCAAATGGGATTTTGAGTTAGTGTTTGCCTCCCCTTATTGATTATAAGTACTACTTGTGTCTACCTTCAAGTAGGAAGTAATATGTCTTACTGTTCTTTTAGTTTCCCACAATGCCTAGCATAATGCTCAAAGAAAGCAAGAACTTAATAAATATGTATTGCACCATGTAATTATTCCTCTTTTCTCTCCTAGATCTATTGTCGGGCTGTGAATTCACTGGGCCAAGATTTAGAGAGAATTCTCGAGCTCAGAGTCAGGGTTTTGGATGTAAATGACAACCCTCCGGTATTTTCTATGTCTACTTTTCTAGGACAAATAGAAGAAAATTCTAATGCCAGTAAGTAGTCTACTTTATTAAGTAAACAAGACTATTTTACTTATTTATTTTTTAAACATCTTTATTGGGGTATAATTGCTTTACAATGGTGTGTTAGTTTCTGCTTTATAACAAAGTGAATCCTTTATACATATACATATGTTCCCATATCTCTTCCCTCTTGCGTCTCCCTCCTTCCCACCTTCCCTATCCCACCCCTCCAGGCGGTCACAAAGCACTGAGCTGATATCCCTGTGCTATGCGGCTGCTTCCCACCAGCTATCTACCTTACGTTTGGTAGTGTATATATGTCCATGCCTCTCTCTCGCTTTGTCACAGCTCACTCTTCCCCCTCCCCATATCCTCAAGTCCGTTCTCCAGTAGGTCTGTGTCTTTATTCCTGTCTTACCCCTAGGTTCTTCATGACATTTTTTTTCTTAAATTTCATATATATGTGTTAGCATACGGTATTTGTCTTTCTCTTTCTGACTTACTTCACTCTGTACGACAGACTCTAGGTCTATCCACCTCATTACAAATAGCTCAATTTCCTTTCTTTTTATGGCTGAGTAATATTCCATTGTATATATGTGCCACATCTTCTTTATCCATTCATCCGATGATGGGCTCTTAGGTTGTTTCCATCTCCGGGCTATTGTAAATAGAGCTGCAATGAACATTTTGGTACATGACTCTTTTTGAATTTTGGTTTTCTCAGGGTATATGCCCAGTAGTGGGATTGTTGGGTCATATGGTAGTTCAACCAGATCATTCTTAACAGCCAGACAACTAGAGGCTAAACTCTGTCAAGGTACTCTATCATGAATGTAAAAGATAAGGTTGGAAAAGCATGTAGAACATGCTTGAGGCATGAGGAAATCTCCATAATGGCTTTCCCTTCAACTGTGGAAGCAGCTCCAACTGTCATACACAAGGAGCAACTCTAAAGTAACAGGAAGCATTTTCTCACACACCAGCTCTGTAGTAGATTCCTAAGGAAAAAATCCAAAAGTACTTTGCACAATGATGACAGAGGCACTGGGAGAATTTAGCCTCCCAACCTGACTACTTTGAAGAGGAATCTCATCCATTTCTATTTATACTGCCTTTTTTTTTTTTTTTTAATTTTAACGACTCTAAAGTCACACATAGAAATCACTTCCAGACAAGCTATCTGGTAGCCATAATCTTAAAGAGCTTTTCTTTGACAACAAATAAATGCAAAACAAGCATCGTTGCCCCTTCTTATATATGATATAATAAATGTGGGTTTTGTTTGTTTTTACTCAAGTCACTGATAGTATGTATTTGAAATGTATTACAAACCTAATCCTCTTTGGTCCTCCATGTACAATATATTTAAAGCTGACCATCTCAAGGAATGATAGTGGAGGGGCACCAGAATATCTAGAAACTAGAACGAGTATTTACACAAGGGCTTTAAAATTCTAAACGTGCAATTGCTTCCTTATGGATTATTGTAAAAGGAAATATTTTAACTGCCAAATATTCAGTCACTTGGGTGGGATAGTATATTAACTGCTTAGTGTACCATTGAAGATTGTCCTAGATATATTAAAAAAAACAGCAGAGATAATGTCTCATTTGAATTCAAAACTTCAGCATCCCATAGTTATTTTTAACTGTTAAGTGGTATAACTTCTTGTAAGTTCAAATAATTCTTACATTTTAATTCTATTCGTTAAAATACTATACCTACAGTTTAAACTTTAAAAAATGCTGCTATAAGAATGATAAACCATTAGCCAGACTCATCAAGAAAAAAAGGGAGAAGACTCAAATCAACAGAATTAGAAATGAAAAGGGAGAAGTAACAACTGGCACTGCAGAAATACCAAGGATCATGAGAGATTACTACACGCAACTATAGGCCAATAAAACAGACAACCTGGAAGAAATAGACAAATCCTTAGAAAAGTACAACCTTCCGAGACTGAACCAGGAAGAAATAGAAAATATGAACAGTCCAATCACAAGCACTGAAATTGAAACTGTGATTAAAAATCTTCCAACAAACAAAAGCCCAGGACCAGATGGCTTCACAGGCGAATTATATCAAACATTTAGAGAAGAGCTAACACCTATCCTTCTCAAACTCTTCCAAAATATAGCAGAGAGAGGAACACTCCTAAACTCATTCTAAGAGGCCACCATCACCCTGATACCAAAACCAGACAAAGATGTCACAAAGAAAGAAAACTACAGGCCAATATCACTGATGAACATAGATGGAAAAATCCTCAGCAAAATACGAGCAAACAAAATCCAACAGCACATTAGAAGGATCATACACCATAATCAAGTGTGATTTATCCCAGGAATGCAAGGATTCTTTAATATATGCAAATCAGTCAATGTGATACACCATATTAAAAAATTGATGGAGAAAAACCATATGATCATCTCAATAGATGCAGAAAAAGCTTTTGACAAAATTCAACACCCATTTATGATAAAAGCTCTCCAGAAAGTAGGCACAGAGGGAACCTACCTCAACATAATTAAGGCCATATATGACAAACCCATAGTCAGCATCGTTCTCAATGGTGAAAAACTGAAACCATTTCCCCTAAGATCAGGATCAAGACAAGGTTGCCCACTCTCACCGCGGTTATTCAACATAGTTTTGGAAGTTTTAGCCACAGAAATCAGAGAAGAAAAAGAAATAAAAGGAATCCAAATCAGAAAAGAAGAAGTAAAACTGTTACTGTTTGCAGATGACATGATACTATACATAGAGAATCCTAAAGATGCTACCAGAAAACTACTAGAGCTAATCAAAGAATTTGGTAGAGTAGCAGGATACAAAATTACTGCACAGAAATCTCTTGCATTCCTATACACTAACAATGAAAGATCAGAAAGAGAAATTAAGGAAACAATCCCATTTACCATTTCAACAAAAAGAATAAAATACCTAGGAATAAACTTACCTGAGGCAAAAGACCTGTATTCAGAAAACTATAAAACACTGACGAAAGAAATCAAAGATAAAATAAACAGATCGAGCGATATACCATGCTTCTGGATTGGAAGAATCACTATTGTGAAAATGACTCTACTACCCAAAGCAATCTACAGATTCAATGCAATCCTTATCAAACTACCAATGGCATTTTTCACAGAACTAGAACAAAAAATTGCACAGTTTGTATGGAAACACAAAAGACCCCGAATAGCCAAAACAATCTTGATAGAGAAAACTGGAGCTGGAGGAATCAGGCTCCCAGACTTCAGACTATACTACAAAGCTATAGTAATCAAGACAGTATGGTACTGGCACAAAAACAGAACTATGGATCGATGGAACAGGATAGAAAGCCCAGAGATAATCCCACACACATATGATCACCTGATCTTTGATAAAGGAGGCAAGAATATGCAATGGAGAAAAGACAGCCTCTTCAATAAATGGTGCTGGGAAAACTGGACAGCTACGTGGAAAAGAATGAAATTAGAACACTCCATTACACCATACACAATAATAAACTCGAAATGGATTAAAGACCTAAATGTAAATCCAGACACTATAATACTCTTAGAGGAAAACATAGGCAGAATACTCTATGACATAAATCACCGCAAGATCCTTTTTGACCCACTTCCTAGAGAAATGGAAATAAAAACAAAAATAAACAAATGGGACCTAATGAAACTTCAAAGCTTTTGCACAGCAAAGGAAACCATAAACAAGATAAAAATACAACCCTCAGAATGGGAGAAAATATTTGCAAATGAAGCAACTGACAAAGGATTAATCTCCAAAATATACAAGCAGCTCATGCAGCTCAATATCAAAAAAACAAACAACCTAATCCAAAAATGGGCAGAAGACCTAAACAGACATTTCTCCAAAGAAGGTATACAGATTGCCAACAAACACATGAAAAGATATTCAACCTCACTAATAATTAGAGAATTGCAAATCAAAACTACAATGAGGTATCACCTCACACCAGTCAGAATGGCCATCATAAAAAATCTACAAATAATAAATGCTGAGAGTGTGTGGAGAAAAGGGGACCCTCTTGCACTGTCGGGGGAAATGTAAACTGATATAGCCACTATGGAGAACAGTATGGAGGTTCCTTAAAAAACTAAAAATAGAACTACCATATGACCCAGCAATCCCACTACTGGGCATATACCCTGAGAAAACCATAATTCAAAAAGAGTCATGTACCACAATGTTCATTGCAGCACTATTTACAACAGCCAGGACATGGAAGCAACCTAAGTGTTCATCAACAGATGAATGGATAAAGAAGATGTGGCACATATATACAATGGAATATTACTCAACCATAAAAATAAACAAAACTGAGTTATTTGTAGTGAGGTGGATGGACCTAGAGTCTGTCATACAAAGTGAAGTAAGTAAGAGAAAATCAAATACTGTATGCTAACACATATATACAGAATCTAAAAAAAAAAAAAAAAAAAAAATGGTTCTGAAGAACCTAGGGGCAGAACAGGAATGAAGACACAGACGTAGAGAATGGACTTGAGGACACTGGTGGGGGAAGGATAAGCTGGGACGAAGTGAGAGAGTAGCACTGATATATATACACTACCAAATGTAAAATAGATAGCTAGTGGGAAGCAGCTGCATGGCACAGGGAGATCATCTCGGTGCTTTGCAACCACCTAGAGGGGTTGGATAAGGAGAATGGGAGAGAGACACAAGAGGGAGGGGATATGGGGATATACATATGCATATAGCTGATTCACTTTGTTATACAGCAGAAACTAACACAACACTGTAAAGCAATTATACTCCGATAAAGATGTTTTAAAAAAAAAGAATGTTTGTTGTAAAAATTCACAAAATATGAGTAAAAACACAATAGAAATGCGTTCTTTGCTCTCCCTAGCACCGTTTTTCAGGGGCAAGTACCATCACTAGTTACTTAGGTACATACTTTCTATAATCATGTAAATATATATAAACGTGTTTCCAAAGAAGAAACAAATGTGACCATATTTTACATACTTATCCACAATGTGAGTTTTTATTGAAATATATTTTGAACACATTTCCATATTAGGAAATACATGTTTCTTCATTCCTTTTAACAATTGCATGAGATTTCGTTGTATGAACACACCATAATTAATGAATTAAATGCCTATGAAAACATTTAAAAAATGATGCTGAAATGAATACACACAGAGAGATTGAGGGAGAGAGAAATGGGAGCTGGTAGTTGGTGTCTACAGACAGGCCAATTGTGCTTGGAACAGAGTTGATTGTAGAGAAATCTAGTTTATGAATGCTGGAAGCTTTTTACATTCTCCAGTGTTCTTCATCAAAACTGCTAATAAGATTACTGGAAAAAGTGAAGGATAGGACAAAGTATGTAATTAAACAAGCATTTTTTAAAACCTACTAGTTACTTAGCATTTTACTAGAGACCACGCAAAATACAACAATAATATATATTTATTGAATGTGCATCATTCAATAGGAACTTCACATAATTTTCTTCATATAGATGTTTAATTCTTTCATGAACTCAATGAGGATGGTACTATTATCATCCCTGTTTATAGATGTGGAAACTGAGGCCAAGATCACATAGCTAGAAAGTGCTATAGTTGGGAATGAGTTGGTCTGGCCTTATATCATTTTGTTTCACCATAGCAGCCTTTTAAAAAAAGAATTATACTAGAATAAGAAATGGAAAGGCAGAAGAAAATATTTCTTTGTTTTCTAGCTATCAGTAATGTCTAAGGTCCCTGGTAAAATGTGATCTTTTCATCAAGACAAAGGTATAGAAAGGAGCTAAGATATTGGTATGTCGAAGCAGTAGAAAGGGAAAATGGTAGAGTGCCCATTATATGGACCAACTAACCCTAACACCTTGTGGGAAAAACAATATATATTATACTACAACAAAAATGCAACTATCCATTTGCAATCAATTTCTCCTAATTTCTAGATACACTGGTGATGATGCTCAATGCTACTGATGCAGATGAACCAAATAATTTGAACTCAAAAATAGCCTTCAAGATCGTAAGACAAGAACCTTCTGATTCACCAATGTTTATTATCAACAGATACACTGCAGAAATTCGAACAATGAATAATTTTCTGGACAGAGAGGTAATTCTTTTTTCTTTGAGTGAGTTGTAGTCTCAAAGGAACTGATTCTAAAAGCAAGAGTTCTAAGAGAAAAAAAAAGAAAACAGTATTTAAAATTTTAATTACATAACCTTTTCACATAATGGTAATGACATAAATATCTGTGAGGTGAAAAAAATAGGAATCCCTCAAATAGATTTTATACTCATTTTTCATTTAATCTTACTTAGCATTTGTCTCAATTTAAGAAAACTACATTCTGAGAGTACATAAAAATATACACATGGTAGAGGCAAAAGCTCCTTTTTTTTTTTTTTTTAAAGTATGTCCTATAATGAAATAAATTTAAGAAACAATTGCTATTATGTCTCCCATCTTGGTGAGTCACAATGCGTGTGAACACGGTAGAAGCTCCAAGAATTTTTACAGGCTAAGAAACTTGTTTATCTTTCTTTTTTTGTTTTGTTTATTTGTTTGTTTATCTTTCTTTGAGCGAGCATATCCTAGGCGCATTTAAGAGAACACTTTTTTTTTTCTCTTCCTATAACTCACCTACTGACAGCCCACTGAGTACTTTGGGAAATGAATCACAGAATCAGAATGACGGATAGGAATTAAGTAACATCCAGACCAGTCTTTTCATTTACAAATAAAAAAATAATTACTGATTTTTACCAAATTAGAACCAGCATTGCATGGTTTCTATAATGCCATGTGGTCCCTTGTTTTAATTTTAAAATATCAACTTTTTCCATTATGATTTTTAATGTGGATAGAATATAACTGATGTGCATATATTTTAGAGTTATAAATGAGGAAGTTTTATTTTCTATTTGATATTTAATTAAATTTCATTTTAAGTATTATAGTTATTTTAAAATGACATCTCCCTGCTAATGATTCCTAGATTTAGGATAAATCAGATTATTTTAACACTCTTTATTGATCCAAATGCCATCAGTTTCTAGGTTACCATTATGTCCTTTTTTACTTGTTTGAAAATTACCATAAGAAGAAATTGACTATTTAGGTATTTCTCTCTCAAGCTTTCTTAAAGGGCCTAGTGGGTTTCCTTTAACATGAAAAGAGTTGTAATGGTGAAGAGCTCTAAAAAGTAAAGGAACTCTGCAATCACTGGCAAGCCACCAGAGAAGATATTTTATTCTTTCTAATTTTTATTTTTTATTGGATTATAGTTGATTAACAATGTTATGTTAGTTTCAGGTGTGCAGCAAAGTGATTCAGTTATACGTGTAAATGTATCTATTCTTTTTCAAATTCTTTTCCCATTTAGGTTATTACAGAATATTGAGCAGTGTTTCCTGTGCTATACAGTATGTTCTTGTTGGTTAACTATTTTATTTTTTAATTATTTTTTTAACTTTTTATTGGAGTATAGTTATTAATAGTGTTGTGATAGCTTCAGGTATATAACAAGGTGATTCAGTTATACATATACATGTATCTATTCTTTTTCAAATTATTTTCCCATTTAGGTTGTTACATAATATTGAGCAGAGTTCCCTGTGCTATACAGTAGGTCCTTGTTGGTTATCTATTTTCAACATAGCAGTGTGTACATGTTAGTCCCAAGCTCACAACCTATCCGTCCCCCCACCCTTCCCCCACTGGTAACCATGAGTTCATTCTCAAAGTCTGTGAGTCTGTTTCCACTTTGTAAATAAGTCCATTTGTATCTTTTTTTTTAGATTCTGCATATAAGTGATATCATATGATATTGTCTTTCTCTGTCTGACTTACCTCACTTAGTATGATAATTTTCAGGTACATCCATGTTCCTGCAACTGGCAGTATTTCATTCTTTTTAATGGCTAATATCCACTGTATGTATGTACCACATCTTCTTTATCCATTCATCTGTCGATGGACATTTAGGTTGCTTTCATCTATTGTAAACAGTACTGCAATGAACATTGGGGTGCATGTATGCTTTCGAACCATGTTTTTCTCCAGATATATGCCCAGAAGTGGGATTGCTGATCATATGGTAGCTCTAGTTTTAGTTCCTAAAGGAACCTCCATACTTTTCTCCAGAGTGGCTGTACCAATTTACATTCCCACCAACAGTGTAAGAGGGTTCCCTTTACTCCACACCCTCTCCAGCATTTACTGTTTGTAGATTTTTGATGATGGCCATTCTGACTGGTGTGAGGTGATATCTCACTGTAGTTTTGATTTGCCTTTCTCTAATAATTAGCGATGTTGAGCATCTTTTCATGTGCCTTTTGGCAATCTGTATATCTTCTTTGGAGAAATGTCTATTTAGGTCTTCTGCCCATTTTTGAATTGGATTGTTTGTTTTTTTGATATTGAGTTGCATGAGTTGCTTGTATGTTTTGGAGATTAATCCTTTGTCAGTTGCTTCATTTGCAACTATTTTCTCCCATTCTGAAGGTTGTCTTTTCGTCTTGTTTATGGTTTCCTTTGCTGTGCAAAAGCTTTGAGGTTTCATTAGGTCCCATTTGTTTATTTTTGTTTTTATTTCCATTTCTCTAGGATGTGGGTCAAAAGGATTTTGCTGTGATTTATGTCATAGAGTGTTCTGCCTATGTTCTCTAAGAGTTTGATGGTGTCGGGCCTTACATTTAGGTCTTTAATCCATTTTGAGTTTATTTTTGTGTATGGTATTAGGGAGTGTTCTAATTTCATTCTTTTACATGTGGCTGTCAAGTTTTCCCAGCACCGCTTATTGAAGAGGCTGTCTTTTCTCCATTGTATATTCTTGCCTCCTTTATCAAAGATAAAGTAACCATATGCACGTGGGTATACCTCTGAGCTTTCTATCCTGTTCCATTGAACTATATTTCTGTTTTTGTGCCAGTACCATACTGTCTTGATTACTGTAGCTTTGTAGTATAGTCTGAAGTCAGGGAGTCTGATTCCTCCAGCTCTGTTTTTCTTTCTCAAGATTGCTTTGGCTATTCGGGGTCTTTTGTGTTTCCATACACACTGTGAAATTTTTTGTTCTAGTTCTGTGAAAAATGCCAGTGGTAGTTTGATAGGGATTGCATTGAATCTGTAGATTGCTTTGGGTAGTAGAGTCATTTTCACAGTGTTGATACTTCCAATCCAAGAACATGGTATATCTCTCCATCTATTTCTATCATCTTTAATTTCTTTCATCAGTGTCTTTTAATTTTCTGCATACAGGTCTTTTGTCTCCTTAGGTAGGTTTATTCCTAGATATTTTATTCCTAGATATTTGCAATGGTAAATAGGAGTGTTTTCTTAATTTCACTTTCATATTTTTCATCATTAGTATATAGGAATGCAAGAGATTTCTGTGCCTTAATTTTGTATCCTGCTACTTTACCAAATTCATTGATTAGCTCTAGTAGTTTTCTGGTAGCATCTTTAGGATTCTCTATGTATAGTATCATGTCATCTGCAAACAGTGACAACTTTACTTCTTCTTTTCCAATTTGGATTCCTTTTATTTCTTTTTCTTCTCTGATTGCTGTGGCTAAAACTTCCAAAACTATGTTGAATAATAGTGGTGAGAGTGGGCAACCTTGTCTTCTTCCTCATCTTAGTGGAAATGGTTTCAGTTTTTCACCATTGAGAACGATGCTGACTATGGGTTTGTTATATATGGCCTTTATTATGTTGAGGTAGGTTCCCTCTATGCTCACTTTCTGGGGAGTTTTTATCATAAATGGGTGTTGAATTTTGTCAAAAGCTTTTTCTGCATCTATTAAGATGATCATATGGTTTTTATTCTTCAGTTTGTTGATGTGGTGTATCACACTGATTGATTTGCAGATATTGAAAAATCCTTGCATCACTGGGACAAATCCCACTTGATCACGGTGTATGATCCTTTTAATGTATTGTTGGATTCTGTTTGCTAGTATTTTGTTGAGGATTTTTGCATCTATGTTCATCAGTGATATCAGCCTGTAGTTTTCTTTTTTTGTGGAATCTGTGTCTGATTTTGGTATCAGGGTCATGGTGGTCTCATAGAATGAGTTTGGGAGTATTCCTTCCTCTGCAATATTTTGGAATAGTTTCAGAAGAAGAAATCCATGTTAACTCTTCTCTAAATGTTTGATAGAACTTGCCTGCGAAGGCATCTGGTCCTAGACTTTTGTTCGTTGGGAGTTTTTTAATCACAGTTTCAATTTTAGTACTTGTGATTGATCTGTTCATATTTTCTATTTCTTCCTGGTTCAGTCTTGGGAGATTGTATCTTTCTAAGAATTTGTCCATTTCCTCCAGGTTGTCCATTTTATTGGCATACAGTTGCTTGTAGTTTTCTCTAATGATCCTTTGTATTTCTGTGGTGTCCTTTATAGCTTCTCCTTTTTCATTTCCAATCTTATTGATTTGAGCCCTCTCCCTTTTTCTCAGAGCAGATATTCTTAACCTGGCATTTGTGGAGAGCCCTCAAGACGTCTCTAACTATGAATCCTCTAAAATTATATCCACAACTTTGAGTGAGGATGCATATATGCATGTGTCAGGGAAAGGCTTCATGGCTTTTACCAGCTTCTAAAAATTTAAGTACCTTTGTGTAGAATCAAGAAAACAGATCATCAATAACTGTACTGCCACCCCCCAAAAAATGCAAACCATTTGCTATCTCTTTATTCTTCAGGGGTTGATAATTTGGGGTACAGAATTTTAATTCCATAAATTCTTAGTAAATCTTAATATCTCCCCTCCTGATCATTTTGTTCTGCTTCACCCTTTATAAACTTTTTCAACATATAATAAGGAATGATGTCTTTTAAAATTTTTGCTTCTTTTAAATGATGCTGAATAAGAATTTTTGGGAATAGAAGTGGCAACTTCATATTGATTCATGTGAAATTTTCGAATTTTCAATATTCTGTGTTACCTCTATCTTCATCATAGATTTATGTAAATGTTGATCCAACATTTTAAAAGATCTTTGTATGAGACAAAATAAAAACTGTCTACATCAACTGTGGTATTGTTTGTTGTGTGTATTTTTAGCAATATGGCCAGTACTCTCTAGTTGTAAGAGGCTCAGACCGCGATGGTGGAGCAGATGGTATGGCAGCAGAGTGTGAATGCAGCATTAAAATCCTCGATGTCAATGATAACATCCCATACATGGAACAGTCATCAGTAAGTATTAGTCCTTGAATTTAGCAACAACTTTAGGTTCATTACCTTCTAAAATTTGTTCAAACAATTCTATTTATATATGTACATGTCATCTTTAGTCACACACAACCCAAATGTACACAAATATTTCATCTCATGTTTGTTTACATAATACATATGAAAAAACCACTATTTGAACAATGAAAAATGAGACCACAAACATAGATCTCTTTTCTATATCATGAATAACTATAAACATTCTATATAAAACTAATATAGTTCTATTTCTCACATAGTTTGTGCTAAAATTTTTTACTTCTTGTTTCAGTATTCCATAAGTATTGAAGAAAATGCTCTAAATTCAAATTTGCTCCAGATTAGAATAATTGATTTGGATGAGGAGTTCTCAGCTAACTGGATGGCAGTCATTTTCTTTATCTCTGGAAATGAGGGAAATTGGTTTGACATAGTAATGAATGAAAGAACAAATGTGGGAACTTTAAAGGTTATTAAGGTATGGAATAATTATCCTAAATATTTTGTTTTCTTGGTTTTTTTCAAAGTGTTAATCTTAAAATGATGTTAACATTTCACAAACTTGAGTGGGTGAAAGAATAAAAATTACTGTGTTTTAGAATTATACATGATATAGAGCTTTTTTATAGAGAGTTTTTCTGCTTATACAATTTCATAAAGACAGGCATTGAACTTTTTACTTGAAATTCTTTTCTATCAATACAATATTCCCTCACAGATCATACATTTTTTTTTTTTTTTTTTTTTTTTTTTTTTTTTTGCAGTATGTGGCCCTCTCTCTGTTGTGGCCTCTCCCGTTGCGGAGCACAGGCTCCGGACGCGCAGGCCCAGCGGCCCAGGCTCACGGGCCCAGCCGGTCCGCGGCATGTGGGATCCTCCCAGACCGGGGCACGAACCCGCATCCCCTGCATCGGCAGGCGGACTCTCAACCACTGCGCCACCAGGGAAGCCCAGATCATACATTTTTAAACACAAATCTTATTTTATGCTTACAACAAAGTACGACTAATCCTTAAGGTTTTGTTTTACATATTTGAAGAATATTTTTTGAAGCAGATTAAACATTGCATAAAAAAAAGTGTCCCTGTCAACACTGTACATCAATTATTATTCATTAATAACATTCATCACATAAATTAAAAGTTATAGTTCATCCAGTGTGTTTTCACAGAATTAAAATTAAATTACTTTAATTGTAGAATTATCACATTCTCATCTCAATTCTGCAGCTGACCCAGGCTTATTACAGATATAAGTACACTGGAGACTTGGTCCAAGTCATAGAGATTTGGTCCAAGTCAACACAGTTCTTCTGTGTCCCCTCTATATTACTGATCCACCACATTTACCTGCAGTAGAATTTTCTCTGAGATTCGAGGGGGAAAAATGTCTGACTCCTAGGGAGCTGATAGTGAAGATTTCACCCTGTGCTACAAGACTTGTCAGTCTATTTTTTAAAATCTGCAGTAGCTGTGCATGGATTGTACGTGATGCATGCAATATGTATTCCTCATGGTGAAATGTAATCCCTTTTTAACTGTTTTCTTCCTTCAGAATTGCTCTGGGAAATAAACTCCTAAGGAATTCTGTCCCCACAGGAATGTGTGATCATTTGTCTCTTATGTCTTCATAAAGTGTCACCATGCCTACAAGCTTCCATTCACTGAGGCAGTGTGCAGATGATTTAGTTTATTCTCTACAGCATCCCTGTAAAATAGGTTATATGCCCACATTATAAATAAATACATTGAGGTTCAGAGAGAGTTTGTAACCTGCTCAGTTCTCAACACTAGTAAGTGGGACAGCTGACATTTAAACCTAAGCTTCTCTAGCTATTAAGTTCACATTCTTTCCTCTACACTATCTAGGTTTCCCTGCTGGGGAAACTGAGTCCTAATCTATTTCACCCCAAACTATGATATTACTTTAGAAAATTAATTGATCTATCTGGCCTCAATATCTCTGTCTGTAAAATGGCAATAATGTTGATTTTTCTCCCAGACATGACATCATATATTAATACTTTTGTTAGGATTATATATATAGGTAATACGTGTGTGTGATGTATATGTATACATAATTTTATAGCCATTCTTGGAGTTGCAAATAAAGCTAATATTAGAGCAAAGACTGAAAATTTTAGCTAAGTAGAGAGCTCAGTGTGTGAATCGATGGTCATCTAAACTACTGTTATATGAACATTAAAAAATATATAGTTGGTATTTATAGGCATAATGCATAGTTGTGGATTTTATGAGTAGTGGATTTTGACACTGTCTTTCATAATGAAAATGACTACTTGTTAATTTTATAATATAAAATGAATTTTTCCAGGATATGTTGAATAAAATATGGATTTCTTTTTATTATTTATATACTACATTCTATTATTTGATTTATTGAAAGAAGTCACATATACATAGTAAAATTTCTTGTAAATAGTTCTTTATGGATAAAATCAGTCAAATGATTGAACCTATGATATACTTGGCCCATTCTTCCTAATAAATAGAGCTACTTTCTGAGAAACCTGAAATGATAGCATCTAACAGAACCTCTCTTTGCATTACAAAATGCATGGATTTGACCACCTGTATTATTTTAAGTTTTTTAGTATTTTAAGTTTTTTAGTTTAAGTATTTAAGTTTTAGTTTGGTGGACAATTAGAACTCATATATTTTCAACTTTTTCAACAAAGGATCTAAGACAATTGGACTTTTTCTTACTGTATTTTCATGTGTTTGTATTGAATTGAATATAAAGTAAGAATAGAGTGTGTATTTATATGTATTTATATTTAATTAAAGAAAAAGATGTAAGAATTTTTTTGCCTATTATCAAAGAATAACTCTTTCCTCTAGAATATTTTTCCCCTTATAGTAAAACTATTTCACTATGTATTTTCTAGCCCCTAGATTATGAAGCTATGAAGAATCTTCAACTTAGTCTTGGTGTTAAAAATAAAGCTGAATTTCATCAATCAATTATGTCTCAATATAAACTCACAGCAACTGCAGTCTCTGTGACGGTGTTAAATGTAGTTGAAGGCTCAGTGTTCCGTCCAGGTTCAAAGACATTCATAGTAACTAGTGAGATGGGACAAAACTATAGATTGGGAGACTTTATAGCTACTGATCTGGACACAGGTCTACCTTCAACCACTGTTAGGTAAGACTGACATTTTCCGACTAGTTTTCACCACATATTGAACTTAAGTAAATATGTTCTTTTTAGAAAGTATCTGAATTAAAGTATTTGTCACTATTTTTGAAATTCAATCATAAAACGTACTAATTGGGGAACTATTACCTAATTTAGACTGTTTAACTTAAGAAAATATAAAAATTTGCACAAAATGTAAGATGGAAAAATGTGAAGGTTTAAAATGTGAAAATATTTTATCTGGACAGTTTGACGCTCCTGTGTTTATATATTTTATTTACCAGTTAGCTGATTACTACATATCATGGTTATTCCCCTTGGCAGATTTGATGGATTGATTTTACCATTGCAAATTTGCCCAGATTGAAATCAGTTAGATTTAGTTAACGCATTTCAGTTACTTTCTCTCTTTAATCAGCACGTAATATTGGTCAACAATAACCTTGATATGAAAAATTGGTTACATTAAGGAAAAATTAAGCTGTGTAGTTTTTTTTTTTAACTCTACGTATCTGAGTGTTTCTACTTGATCAGTAAAAATCTGTGTGTATATGTGCACACGTATTTTGCAAATGTGCTTGTGATCAGGAATAATGGTGGAGTGGAAAGACCTCACAAATGAGTTTTAAAAGTTCTTTCTGTGTGTTCCTCTCACTCCATGTGAGTATTTCAGTTATAGCTCTTATCACACTGCACCGCCATTACTGATAAGCTCTCTTGTACTCCACAGATGTGAGTTCACTGAGGGAAGACCACACCCCTATCTGACTGCTTTCCAAGTTCTATTTCCTGAGTTTAGCACAATGCCTGACACAGAGAGCTATCTAACCAATGTTTGTCTAACGAACATATAAATGAGAAGGAAAACTTCAAAGTCAAAGATGAGAAGAGAAAGAGAATAGAGAATAGGATAGAGGCACGAGACAAGGACAGAGTTTGGAATCCACAAGAAGTCCTGTATATTCACTGTGTACGTGGGGAGGGGAGTGGAAATAGGGAAGGGATGAAAGCCAAGCTGCTGAAGAAGTAACTTCTTTGGTAAGAGAATAGTTTAGAATTAGCAGCAGCCCAGGAAGTCCCAGCATCTGGGCTGTCCAGGACAGTTCTGATGCTACCAAAATCAAATGAAAATGAGACTGCAGGTATCAGAGGATTATTCGTACATCTAAGTGGGCTAGATGTAACAGACATTCCATCACAAGTGGCTGCTCAGTAATTCTTTTTTCTTAAACTTAAATCTTCATCCATTTCTGAATGTCCTCAAACAGCTGAAACTGCCCCCACAAAAATAAAGTCTCCAATAATTGAAAATTATATCCAGGAGTTACAACTACTGGCTGGAAACATGGTTTAAAATCAAAATCTCTCTATCTCTACCCCCTGCCTTTAGATAGCTAACATTAATTTGTACCATTGTCTTTCAAATACAGGTATGTAATGGGAAGTAATCCAGCGGGCCTAATTGCTATTGACTCAAAAACGGGCATAATTACTTTGAGAAATAAAGTTACTGTTCAACAATATGAAATACTTAGGGGAAAATACCAAGGAACAATTCTATCTATAGATGGTAAGAAATCAATTTAATTTTTTCCCGTCTACTGGAAGTTATATATACGTTAATTACTGTCTTTTGAAGTAACCCTTTTTCCAACAAAAGTTATCATATTGGGTATTATACAATCAAATCCTGAATGATACAAGAGGCATTATAATTTAGGGTTAAGACTGTGAGCTCTGGAATTAGACTGGATTGGTATCTCGTACCATCACTTACTAGCTTTAAGATTTTAGAGAAGTTATTTAACCCATTTATCCCTCAGTTTTCTCTTCCATAAAATGGGCCAATAACATTATGGATTTAGAAGTACTTAAGGAGTTACTACATGTAAAGCACTAGACGAGTGCTGACATTCAATAAATGTTAGTTGGGCTTCCCTGGCGGCGCAGTGGTTGAGAGTCCGCCTGCTGATGCAGGGGACACGAGTTCGTGCCCTGGTCCGGGAAGATCCCACATGCCGCGGAGCGGCTAGGCCCGTGAGCCATGGCCGCTGAGCCTGCGCATCCGGAGCCTGTGCTCCTCAACGGGAGAGGCCACAACAGTGAGAGGCCCACGTACCGCAAATATATAATAAATAAATAAATAAATAAATGTTAGTTCGTATTAATGTCAGTAATAGAAAATTTTTAATTGTACTGTAAAATTATTTTCAAACAGACCCAAAGCCAAGCTAACTTAACTTTACATGATCCTTGGAAAGTTGATGTACAATTTTGCGTAAAAAATTTGGAATTAGCATGCTTATATTACTTTTCAAAACCAACAAAATTAAATTAGGCTAATCACTAGGAGGGAAGTTCCTCGAGGCTAATTCTAAGCAATATTTGCTACTTCAGTTTCTCTTCCTCCCTTCTTCCTCCTTCTCTCCCTTTCTTCCTCTTTTTCTTTCATTTGTCCTAAGAAGGGATTGACAATTTCCACTTGCTTCACAAGTTTAAAAGAAATAAAACAGCATTTCTTTAAAGTCATTCAACAATTCAGAATTTTTACCAAATTATGCTGGTCTTTTCCACAATCAGTCAAAATAAATGTAGTTTTTAAAATGTTTATTACAAATCGAAATGTTTATTCCATCTACATATAAAGTTTATTTCAGTGCTGAAATTGTCTTAAGCAATTGCTAGTTTACTCCTTTTCTTACATCCAACATCAAGCTTAACTGGACACATGAAAGAGAAATTGGAACTTTAATTTACTAAACTGTAGGCTGATGGCAAATAGGGAGCATTCCCTTTGTCATTAAAAAATACCACCTTCTGGGGATAAACATTAGATCTGATGATAATAAAAATAAAAAAAACAGTAACAGTACAATAGAATTGTTGTATTCCAACAAAGCAGAAACAATAGAATCAGGATAGCTGGGCTGAAAGGGCATGGGCTTTGATATCAGATAGACTGTATGTAAACCTATCTCTGTTATGTACTTCCAGGGATATCTTTATTCATTTATCCAGAAACTAAGTATCGAATTCTAACCAAACATCAGCCATTGTGCCAGATTCTAGAGTGACATCAATGGACAAAGTCTAACAACAGCACTTACATTCTATATAATAGAAATAATAATAACAATAATAGTAACTTGCTGAAGCCAACAGCAATTGTGGAGCCATTAAGTTGAAACAAATCACAGATGTCTCTCCTCCTGTGTTTAGTCAACAAACACAATAATTTACTGAAACTTTGAAGGACAAGAAAAAAGCAAATTTGGAATATCTGCTTGTGAAACAAAAGTGCTTCGTTTTATTGATATGAAGATTCCCCTCCCCCAATAGTGCCAAATTCCCTCTCCTATGAGTTGTTTGAACTGATGGCTGTGAGTTTGAGGATATGCTACTTTATCAGTAGGATATTTTTATACAAATGATTGACCAATCTGCCTAAGGTCTTGTTGGTTTTGTCAGCCCATCAAAGGAAAAAAGACAAGAACTGAAGTTGAAAGACAGTAAAACAGCAAACAAAATCTAGTCTAATACAGGGAGAAGTGTGCAACACATGGTCTAGAAATGTCTCCACAGTGGCTTATGACACACTGCTGACCAATACATAGTGTGGTGTTTACTGTGTATGTTTCTCAACACATAGGACAGTTTTTCTCAAGCACTAATATTTATTCATAATGGTTTGATTTAAAAACTGAGTCACAGACAAGAGACAATATTCGGAGGTACTGAATTGGTGGGAATAAACACATTGAAATAAGTACTGATGCAAAGAGAAAATAGTTTTGTATTGTCCAACAATTATTACACTAAATGTATAAAATATTTCTTTCATTTTAAACCTTGTTACAGATGCTCTTCAAAGAACTTCTACTGGGACAATTATTATTAAACTTGAAAGTAATTCTGGGGAAGATGATGCATCGTCTGATAATAATAATACCAGTACTAGCACAAATGGCCTTACTTCCTCAGATGTTACCACTGATAACTACAAAAACGTTGGCATGGTTAGCCCAAGTACTTCTGATGCACTTCACACCACTCCTTTTCATCTAATAAGCAATGATAATGTATATCTTGGTCCTGCTGGCATTGGACTACTCATCATGGGATTCTTGATCCTAGGATGTAAGTACTTTAACAGTCCTGTTTTTATGTGCCCCCTAAAAAATTGTGGAGAGGAAATAAGTTTTCTGATCCTTTGATGAAATATATTTTACAAATTCTTATTTTGTGCATTTATCAAGAAATTTCTATGTTTGGTGTTGGGTTTACGACATGAAAAAAAACATCAAACAACTTGACCCCTTAGAGTGCAGTAGAGGATAAAACCTTTTTTGCTTTGAATCTCAATGTAATAGGAAAGTACCATAACAGACAGGTTCAAATTGCTATTTGAGTGAAGAAGACAGTCAGAAATAACTGACTGAAACAATCAGAAAAGGCTACATGGAGAAAGTAAACTCTGAGTTGGGTTTTAACAGATGAATAGGAGGTAGCCTAGTGGACAAGAAAAGGGGAACACAATATAAGAAGGAAAAAAAATCCATGTGCGAAATCCCAAAAGAATGAGAGCGCAATAACTGAAATAAAAGACTCCAGCATAGAAGAAATAAAGGATGTGCTTGAGAGCATGGTGAGAGTCGAGTCTAGAAAGATAGGCAGGGGCTAGACCTTGAAGGGATTTCATGCTGTGCCAAAGCTGCACAGCCTAAGGAAAGGAGAGCCAAATAGATGAAGAATTAAACTCCAGCTTCTAAATTCAATTGTCTGAGTCCTTCAAAGTTTACCCAAGTTTTCTGAGCCTTGCTTTTACCATCTGTGAAATAATAAAACTTACTTCACAACAATACTTAGATAATGAAAAGGAAGTACCACGCATGGAAGCATTTAGAGATAGGACACATTGTATGGTCACTAGAGTGGACCTAGCCAAGGATCTAGACATGATGGTATAATATCCAATGGATTCTTCAGGTGGTCTTTAATATTGCCTTGGATGATGATAGAAATTAGAGTGGCGATGAGCCAGATGCTACAGTCTCTGAGGAATATTTTTCCTTTAATATTTTCCTAAGTAATGACAGGGAAAAGACTCATCTGCTTTAATAGTATAATATGATCTGTAATCTGAATACTATATAACAAGTAAAAATTGATTGCAGTCTGAGGCTTACATTGATTTTGGTATCTCACCATTATTCAGCTTGTTTTCTGAAACTTTCATAATAATGTTAGAATCAAATGGAGTTATATTAGGCGTTCAAATTTAATCATAAAAGCAGGTTGTTTTGTTTTAATATGGTCCCACTGCTAATTGCAATATTCCTATCTTTTCACCATCAGTGGTCCCATTATTGTTGATGTTTTGTGACTGTAGAGGTATCCCTGGTTGTAGGGCCAGCTTTAAGCCTGTTCCCGAATGTATGGATGGAACAATGCATTCATGGGCGGTGGAAGGACCGCAGCCCAAACTTGTGGTAAGTGCTCACTAACAGTCTAGGTTGTTCTTTGTTCTGGGATAGCCGATGGGGAAAACGAAGAGAAAGGTACATCAAAGTTAGATGACAGTAACTGGGGAAGCCTTTCTAAATGAGGTTCAGATTATTTTTAGTATCCTTTTAGAAAATCTGAGGTAATTTGAGAACAAACCCAGTGTATAATTATTGAAAGAAAAGAATCATTACAAATGGGAGAATGTTTCCTGTCCTTTAGGATTTGACCAATACCAGTGCACCACAAATACCACCCAATACTGCAGATATTATTGAGTGCATTGACAACTCAGGTAAGAAAATTTTTTTTTAAGTTTTCATAGTTCAAATGACTAACGAGGAACTCTATTCTCTGTCTTTGCATACCTTACCATTTCTCAATTGTCTTATCTTTACAATTGTTCCCATCATTCTTTTTTAAATGACTAATTTGCAAACTAAATGATAAAGAAAATCCTACAATACTTATTATTCTTTTAGGTTGTATTTTTTTTTATCTTCTTCAATCATCAGAGAGTACACAAGAGATGACCTGATTAGGATTTCTATAAATAGGAGAGAAGTACTGAATTGTAAGCAGAAGTCAATTTTGGCTGAGATTTTTTTTGTCTAATAGAGCAATTGTTATTTATTAAAAACCACTAATTTGAATTAAAGTACAGCCCTATTAAATAGACATATGCTCATTTATTGAGGCTAGCATCTGCCTCCACAATTCACAAAATCAGTCTAAGAAAAAGAGGAATAAATTTTAAAAACTCATATCTTTGAAAATAATTGTACTGTCTTGCCTTATTTCAAGGTAAATAAATATTATTGATTCTCTTATTTTTCATTCAGTCTTTTTCAAACTTGTGATCATGACTTTTCCACTTTGAACCCTTCAAAATGTAAAAGACATAGGAATGTTTATGACTTATAGAACTGGACCACATTCAGAAGACTGGAGATGCTAGTCTGTAAACTTATTTCTCCCCTTGAGGTGTCCATTATTGTTAATGACCCCAACACCCTCCACCTAAAAAGCAGAAACTCATTTTTGACTCTCTTATCTCCCTATTCATTGACACTCAGTCAGTTCTCAAGACTTGTCAAATCCTCAAATCCACCAGGATTTATTTATGCATTTATTCTCTCATTAAGTCTACAAACCTTGAACAAAGCACAGTGAGAGGCACCAGAGTTAGAAGTATGAAACACTATACCTAAACTCAAGATCTTCAAAATATGAAAGCCATAGGACACCTACCCCATTGTCAACACTTTCTCTGTCCATGGCACTTCCATAGTCTGGGCCACCCTTTTATCTCACCTGCCTGGAATTTTGTAACAGGCTTCTACTCACCCCTCACAATCAAGTGCAAATCCCAGAGTCTTCATGCAAACCTATCCCCTCACCATAGCCATGGCCTCTTCTCTGAATGCCCTGGATGCCCTGTGCTTCTAATAATACATTGAGTATTCTTATACTGTTTTTTTTTTAAGTTTTAGAATTTGGGTATTTTCCCCCAATTTGAAATCAAACTCTCTAAGGCATAGATAGGGTTTTATAACCTCTGTGGAGCCCCCGATCCCAACACAACATATAGTAGTATCTCAAATAATTACTGAATTAACAAATTGATAAATAATATTATTTTGAACTCAATATCATATTTGCATCTCCTTTCTTTATGTATTACCTTCATTTTTATTTATTTATTTATTTACTTTTGGCTGCACTGGGTCTTTGTTGCTGTGCGCAGGCTTTAGTTGTGGCGAGCAGGGGCTACTCTTTGTTGTGGTGCCCGGGCTTCTCATTTTGGTGGCTTCTCTTGTTGCAGAGCACAGGCTCTAGGCATGTGGGCCTCAGTAGTTGTGGAATGCGGGCTCAGTAGTTGTGGCACACTGGCTTAGTTGCTCCTTCCTGGACCAGGGATCGAATCTGTGTCCCCTGCGTTGGCAGGCAGATTCCTAATCCCTCTGCCACCAGGGAAGTCCTGTATTACCTTCATTTTATTTCTTTGCTCACTCACAACTGCGTACTTAAATGGAGAAACTATACATTACAGTAAGTTACTAACTTTTAGTTTACAGTACACTAGAGAAAAAACAGTTTACAGGAGAAAGTAAAATTTAATTTGATCAACACTTTTAGGCGTTTACACAAATGAGTATCATGGCAGAAAAATGCAAGATCTTGGAGGAGGAGAAAGAATGACAGCGTTGGAACTAGTGGATGGAGTTAAAACATCAGGACAACCTAAGATATGTCAAGAATATTCTGGAACATTAAGAAGAAGTTCTATGAGGGAATGTAGAGAAGGAGGGCTGAATATGAACTTCATGGATAGTTACTTCTGCCAGGTAAGCTCTCTATCCCCATGCCTTCCTTTCCATCCTGCACCCATATCTCTACCCCAGGCTCCCACTATTTCCCAACAGGGCTTTGGTGGGTGTTTCCTAACTAGGTTCCCAGCCTCTGGTCTTTACACCTGACAATCTATATTCCTGCTTAATAGTATTTCTCAAACTCTGACTTGAGCACTTTACTCCCCCACTTTAAAACAACCAGTGGCTCCCAGCTTTGTTTTGTCTGTGGTGTGAAGTCCATCTCCTTCACACAGGAATTAACCAATTGACCTCTTCCCTCACACCCTCACATCTCCAATTACTCCTTACCAGCCACCCTGCTTGCCAAGCCCCTTTGCCTTGTTCACACTGGTCTACTGCCCTCCATGTCTTTGCTTATGCTGTGCTCATCCTGGAATGCTTTTACCTGATCTTCTCTCTCACAAACCCACACTCATCTTTCTATCCGGTTCAAACACCCCTGCCTTTCTGAAGTTTTTACTGTGAATCCTCTCATCCAAAATAGCGTTGATGTTTCTTTATGTGTATCTCTGTAGCACTTTGTTTGTACATTTTATAGAACATACCATTGCTAAAATCGGTTGGTTACATGTCCACCACCTTTTTTAGTGCCTCGGCTGCATGGGCTCTACATTATGTTGCCAGTACCTGGCTCAGTTCCAAGCACAGAGTAAACACGCAATAAGGGTGGGTCCAAGAGCCATAGTACATTTCCAGGGCATTCTAAGAACCAGAGAGAATTAATTTTGCCATCTTCAGGTAGAGACAGAATTGCCCGTGGTTCTACCCCATATGATACTTAAACCTTCAGATATTTCCTACCTCTGATACTGTCTCTGATACATTTATGTCCTTCTACACACTGGCCTAAAATACAGTCATTAACTCTCCTAATGAGAGGGTGGCTGATATTTTGAACTGAAATACTAGTAAAAGCCTTCCAAATAGCAGCAAATAATAAGGGGACAGTTGTTGAAATCCATAGGTATACTTCCTATCCATGTCCCTACAAATGAATATCATTTTCATGAAAAGTTCCATTTCTGCCTCACAACTTTTGCACTTGTATCTCCTTCTGCCCAGAACACTCTCTCTGCTTTACTGTCCCCGTGACTTTAGTCTCTGCACAGCCATCACTTTATGAGATGCTGTCCCTGAACTCTCTGTCTAAAAGAGCAACGCTATCCCTCTCTACTCCTTTACTCTACACCTCCTAACAAATACGTTTATGTGTTGTCTGGCTCATCCTACTGAAATGTAAGCCCTGTGAGAGAGGGACTTTATCTGGTTTTGCTCATTACTTTATTGCCAACTTCCTAAGAGAGTGTCTGCCAAACAGTAAGGACTCAAAAACTATTTTTGAATTGAAATGGCACAATGAGTTGGTTTGCTAATAAAGGTATTTCTGCTTAACCTGAAAGTTTGCAATCCAATATTACAAACAAAAGAGATGAAATAAAAGTACACATGTCTGTGAGCTTTCACTTTGAATTGGAGGAGATTCTATTTTTAACAACTGTCTTTGGTCACCTTCAATTCTGAATCCAAAAGTGGCATAGACCCAGAGTCCAATTTTCCTGTTATTTTGCTTAAAAAGCCACACTGAAATAAATCTTCATGGAACCACCATATTCACTTCATCTGAAGGAAGAAAAGCACAATTCTGAATGAACCCAAATCAACTATGAACTACCTAATTTAAACAAATCCAAAAAAATACACAAATTTGGTATACTTTAAGTTCAATGTTTTCAAGTATACCTCCTTCTAACTTGGCTGCAAAATCATTCATGTGATTCTTTTTGTGCTTTTGTGTCCCAAGTGCGCTAAGATTAAGAAGTCCATCTAAATAAATATCAAAATGTATTTACCCAAATTACAGTTAAAATAATTCCTAACCAAATTCTTTCAAGTAATTATATAATAACTTCTAAAGAGTCTCTAGAAGGTATTAGAATTTTGTTTTATATATTTTTTTTGGTAAAGCTATGGAAAAAAATAATGGGCAAAAAATAATGATAAAGACCTCTATTACTGTTAAAAATGTATTCATCATTTCATTTTCTCTTTCTTCTACAAATTCAGAAAGCATATGCTTATGCAGATGAAGACGAAGCACGCCCATCCAATGACTGTTTGCTCATATATGATATTGAAGGTGTAGGTTCCCCTGCGGGCTCTGTGGGTTGTTGTAGCTTCATTGGAGAAGATTTGGATGACAGCTTTTTGGATACACTGGGGCCTAAATTTAAGAAGTTGGCAGATATCAGCCTGGGAAAAGGAGTGGAACCATACCCAGACCCTGATCCCTCTTGGTCACCTGACAGCACTGAACCGATCTGCCCTCTGCAGGGAACAGAGTCCATTGGTAGTGGACACCCACACACCTCCCCACATTTCGGCACCACCACCACCATCATTTCTGAGAGTAACTACCCCTCGGGACCTGGGGTACAGCATCCTATTCCTGATCCTCTGGGCTATGGTAATGTCACTTTAACTGAGTCTTACACCACCTTGGGCACTCTGAAGCCCTCTGTCCACGTTCATGATAACCGACATGCATCAAACGTGGTGGTAACAGAGAGGGTGGTCGGCCCAATCTCTGGTGCCAATCTGCATGGGATGTCAGAGATGCCTGACTTGAGAGATGGGTCAAATGTTATAGTGACAGAAAGGGTAATAACACCCGGTTCAAGCCTGCCCTCCACTTTGACCATCCCTGATCCTAGAGAGTCTTCAAATGTAGTAGTGACAGAAAGAGTAATCCAGCCAACTTCTGGCCTAGTGGGCAATCTGAGTGTGCACCCCGATTTATCAAACACCCACAGTGTGATTGTGACAGAGAAGGTAGTTTCAGGCTCCGGCATAACTGGCATTAGTGGCCCAGTTGGGCTAGGTGGAGGCAGTGGCATAGGCAGCAGTGGCCTGGTGGGCAATGGTGGTGGCATTGGGCTGAGCAGCCTGGGAGGGGGTGGGGGTCTGAGTAGCAGCATGGGGGCCACATCCACCATTGGCCACTTGAGGGGCTCCTCTGAGCATCACTTTAGCAATACCCTAGGATCTGCCTCCCCTATCACAGCCAGAAGTCGAATCACAAAGTACGGTACAGGACAATACACCAAGTAGCCAGGACCCCAGCACACTTTTTCTCAGTAATTGTGATTTAGGTTTAATTCCCACCGCCCAAAAAGTAACAGTGTGATTTATGACGCACAACCAGGTGCTAAGAAAATTGTGGAACAAGGTGAGACACCTCAGTGAGAAAAATAGATGGAAATAGTGCTATTGGGCAAGAGCTCTCCTGAACGTTTGTCAACTTTTTTCTTATAGTCATACTAGCAGAATCATGACCGTGAACTAAAGCTTGAGACAGGGTCTTCTTTGTGCCTGGATGGCTCTGCTTGGCTTTTGTGCGGCCTGTAGTGTATCTCCAGCACATGGAATAAATAAAACTTGGTCATGTGAAAGCACTGGCCTTAAGATGGCAATTGGCATCGTTCTCCTTGCTCTATTTTGAATTGCCATGTAGCTCAAGCAATATTTAAATAAAACTAAACATGCAACATGCGCTCAAGTAAGTGGGAAGGATTTGAAATATGCCCCAAATGCCTTGTCAACTTTGCAGATAATATAAACAAAAATCCAATCACATATTTAGACCAGCGTTAACCATTAAAGAAAAAAAATGGCTGCTCAGCCAAGTCCACAAGCCACCAAGCACTCCCACCTTAATAACTGCACTAGATGAAACAAACTTCAAATCAGGAAATGTTTCCTGGGAGGGAAATTCCATAAGAGGGTGGCAACATAGTGAGATTGACTGGGAGTGAACTGGCATCGTCTGAGTCTAGATCTTGAGATGGGGCTTCAGCTATAATTCCTATGGAGTCAAGGACTTCTGATTCTAGTTTGTGTCTAGTGGTAGATGCAATATTGATGTATATTGCATACTGGCGAAGTTGCAGGATATCACATGCATTTTTCCCTTTACCACTGTGACTCTGACTTAATAAAGGAAAACCTGCCAAGTATACTTCTCAGGCTGAAGCAAGTAACACCTGACATGGTAAATTACCTTCCAAAGAAGTAGACGGGAATCGCATTGTTATTTTCAGGTTGTGTTTTTAGTAAGTGTTATTCATTTATATACAGCTCTTTATTACACATCTCCTAAGATAAAATAATTGACTTAGACTGAGCTGTGAAAAAAAGCCTGCAGTATAGTTATGCTTTGGGGAAATTTTTTAAGGGGATCTAAAAAAACTTTTTAGCACATGTAAAATATTTAATGGGGGAAGTTAGAACTGTTCAGTAAATAATACCATACTATTAGCTTTAATTGAGTTTAGTACTTTTTAAAATAACCCTCTGCTGCTACTTTGAAGAGATCAGCTAGGAACTTTTAACAGAGTTTATGACATTGTGTTAATGGGAATGAAATTGTACTAGACAATCCAATTTCCTTACTCTATCCCACCTCCTAACCGAATTTTCTCACTAACCTAAATTTTACTTTCCTGATTTGATTTGTCAATAAGCTCTTGGATTATATATGCTCCAATTTATAGATAGTTTCTAAATTATATAGTATACTTTTCTAACTTCAAAATTTAATAATGTCCTATTTATGATGAGTCATTTCTGTGAATTTGCTACATACCTGGTTAAAATCTCTAAATAGAATCAAAGCATTCTTAGAGGTAAATTTACTGTTGTATGGTAGAGGAATTTTTTTCTCTTTTCTAAATTCAATGTTAATATTTGCTCACTAATGTGAAACTGGATATGGCAAAAATATTTTAAGGATTAGTCCTCCCAGTTACTCAAATTTCCTATAGTGTTACAAGATCAAAGAATAGTTATTGGACTTTCAACACTTGTCAAAGGGGGATGGCGAGTGAATTATTTTACCCAGAGCTATTTCCCTCTATGTTATAGCAGATGATGTCAATATTTTCAAAGCCACAATACACATCTTATTTTAACTCTGTACACTATGTAAAGTTTTGATAGTCTGTAGCATGCCAAAATGCAGAGGTGTAAATAGAATCATTCACAGGGAGTATTTTTTTTATTTCTTTCTCCCATTTGGAGGTTCCATTAATAATGGGTAATCTTTACAGAAATAAAGTCAAAAGCTACTTATTGAAATATACTTGAGTATGCCTGGGTCCAGGAGTTTGAAGAAATAAAAATAATAATAATAATAATTTTTTTTTTTTGCGGTACGCGGCCCTCTCACTGTTGTGGCCTCTCCCGTTGCGGAGCACAGGCTCCGGACGCGCAGGCTCAGCGGCCAGGGCTCACGGGCCCAGCCGCTCCGCGGCATGTGGGATCCTCCTGGATCGGGGCGTGTACCCGTGTCCCCTGCATCAGCAGGCGGACTCTCAACCACGGCGCCACCAGGGAAGCCCAGAAATAATTATTAATTAATTGTTAGTATTTGTCACTTTGATATGACATATCATCAGAAGTGTTTTCTTAAGACTCCTGATATCTTCCAGAAATGTTTTTTAGATTGTCTGACAAATGCCAGAGCAACCATCCTTAATAACTATTGTTATTAAGATCCATTAGTTACATAAAACCATGGGAGATACAAGAAAAAAAATGGCAGTATTAGTCATCAATCTTTCTAGGAAGATACTTTCAAATCAGACTCATTTTTTCATGTTTACACATTGATGTTCTAACTCTTTATCCCTAAATTTTAAAATTACCTTTTTAAGACAGCAACCATTCTAACAGTCATTTAAAGGCATGTAATTTTTTTAATGAACAGCCTTTAGGAAGAATTTAATCCTTCTCTTTAGATGCTTTACTCTAACTCACATACTTTACGTCAATCCATAGACATAAAGATATGAAAATTATTTTATATGTGAATAGTTATAATTCAAACCCATAATGCAAGCTGAGTCTCAGATCAACTTGCTCCTAACAAAAGAGAAGGAAAAAGGAGTGATTTAATTGTTATGTGTATATAGTTTGAAGGCAAATCGTTTAATATTTATAAAACATCTCCCTTTCCAAAGAGGTAGTCCTTAGAGGCAAAAATTAGTGTATTATAAATACTTTATTATTTAATATCAAACAAAATACCATCTTGAGCTAATTTTGACATTGAATTCCAAATACATCTGCTACATATTGTTAGCCTCTCTGTATGTTGCCTGATGTAAATGTATTTGCTCTGAAAAATTTACGGAAAAAGTATCTATTTCAGGTTATTTCTAGGGCTTCATCTGGACGTCTGTTCTACATTTGTATATAAAGTTTTTAGCCTCATAATGTTCATTCAATGTATAATGTTCTGACAGAATTTTAATTATATAGCTTCAAAAATTACATATTCACTCTGACTGGATGTTTCTAGTTATAGACACAATTCATTTCTGAATTTATACCAACATTTGAATGTCAGCCAGTATATAACACATATGACAGTCTTCGACTTTAGCAAGAGTTTAAAGGTGTTATAATCTCGGCTAAAATGGCCCTGGCTTTTTCAGAAAGACATTTGAAGCCCAAAACAAACTTCTGAAAGTATTGCCACATTTCCCCATGCCTATTTAATCAATTCCAACCTTTGAGGAGACTTCTGGTGTTTGTAAGACCTATTTCACATTGCACTAGAATACACCGGTCCATATAGATTATTAGTATCCATGAAACAGAATCTGTCTTCCAGTTCCAGATTATTCAATTCATCTTAGGACAAAAGCATAAATGGATCAACCATCAAATAATTTTAAAACAATGAATAATCTATTGTTTAGGTGTCTATATTCCTCCATCTAGTTATATTTGAATTACTAAACACTGTCATCAAGCTGTACTTAGTCTAACCTGTGTTTCTTTCGCTATTTTACGAGTATTTTTAGACTTTAATATTCATCTTGGGTGATGTTTACAACAAGGTGCTTTCCTTCAAGTTTCAGTATAAAAACTCTTGGATTATTTGGGTGCCAGTTCCTTGCTCGGTCATCTGTTGGCTATTTTAAGTTGGTCTGTTTACAGCAATAAAATGCTTAATATGCCTTCATTACCTTTTCTGAATTGCAAGGTGGGGATGGGTCTTAGAATATAAGGAATAATTAGAGATGATCAAATCTAGTTATTATTTTCAGTCCATAGAGATCATTATTTTATTTTCACACTGTTAAGGTTTTTCATTTTCTGTTTCCTAAATCGTTTTTTCTCATGTTTACTGGGGAGCCTGCTCTCCAGAGTGCTGTTTAGTAATGTCAGGACACAGCCTTAAGCGGCCTCATGCAATAAGTAAATGATCAATAACGTGCATTTTAAGTTTTTATTTGACACTTTTAGCATCTTTATGCTTTCATATTTTTCTCTTTCATATTCTAATTTTTTTGTTTACACCAGCACTTTATTTCTTTTAAATGGCCTTTCTTCTTATTTGCTTTTAAAACCAAACACTTTCCTCTTTATTGGGGTGCATCTCCTTTGTGCTCTCCAATGCCACCTTCAGAACATTATCATCTTCGTTGTGCACAAAACCTTCCCCTTTTCAGACACATGCGATCCGCTTATATCCCCCTCCCACTCTTCTCCTTGTGCCATTTCCTGACCTCTTAATAATGTCCCCACTTTTACTAAAGACTCTTGTATTCTGGCTCACAGTCTTCTGTGGCCTCTCCACCTCCATGGACGAGGCACTCAGCATCCCATATTCTCAGCTCTTACGCCTCCATTCCCCCAGCCACCTCAGTCACTTGCTTCTTTGTCATAACCCAGCATGGCAGGACCTTGGATGCCTCAGTTTCACTTCCTCCTATCCTTCCAGCTCACTTGCTTATGAATTCCGATTGTTGCAATTCCTCCACTTCATCAAAGTCTCCATTCTTTGGACTCCCACCGCTTTCTCAGTATCTGTCAGCTTCACCTCCCTCCTTGTATAATCAAACTTCATGAGTCCAACTGTCACCTCTTGGAGCATACCTTCTACCTCCTTGCCCTGCTTCCCCTTTCATATCCCAAATCTTTTACCCCCGCATTTCTGTCTGCACACAAACAGCTAAACAAATGATTCAAGTGAGTTGCCTTTTTTCATTTTAAATACTCGATTTCAGATCTCAGGTTAATATCAAATGCTTCCCTAATCC